CTTAAAAAGTTTACTTTTAATTGTGCAGATTCAAGGAGTCAGCCGAGTTACTATCAGAAAATCAAAGAACATCCTCTTTGTGATCAACAAGCCTGACGTGTTCAAGAACCCTGTATCTGACACCTACATTGTCTTTGGAGAAGCCAAGGTATTTAAGCACTTAAACAAATGTTGCCTATTGATTGTTCCATCTATTCTTAAATCTCATTTTGTATGTGACATCAGATTGAAGATCTCAGCCAGCAAGCCCAGGTTGCTGCTGCAGAGAAATTCAAGGCTCCAGAAATCTCACCTGCTGCAGATGTTGGTGCTGGCACCACTGTAAGTTTGTTTTGTTTGTCTGAAACTCTGTAATGAACCAATGCCATTTTTATCTAACATGATGACCAATTCTTACTTGAAGGGTGCACTATGTGTTAAACCCGTACAGTTAGATGTAAGAAACTGTTATCCCTGGCTGACTAGTTATCCAATGGCATATTTTATTAACTTATTTGGTCTAATCAAGAAGACAACTCTGTCTAAAACTCATTATTTCCTATCTTCAGGCTGTTGCTCCCATTCAAGAAGAATCAGAGGAGGAGGAAGTTGACGACACTGGGGTTGAAGAGAAGGATGTTGACCTTGTGATGCTGCAAGCCAATGTCAGCAGAGCTAAAGCCATTAAAGCCCTCCGCAACAATGGTTACGACTTAGTAAATGCAATCATGGTGAGTTTGGAATTTTGTCAATTTCTTAACCTGCTTTTCAGAATACATATTAAAGTTCTCTGCACTGATGATACTCCCTATGGTTTCGCTAATTTGTCTGTATCTATTTGATGAGACACCTTGCCAGACTGAGTAGAGACTTTTTCTTTCTAAGGTTCTCTATGTTGAGAGAATCAAGAGTTGACTTTCACGATGTTCTTGGATTAAAAAAATATTTTGTCCAGAGATAACATAAGTTTACAGCACATTATGTTTCATACAACTGCAACCGACTCTGCATTGATGATATTCTCTATGGTTTCGCTAATATGTCTGTATCTACTTGATGATACACCTTGCCAGACTGAGCAGAGGTTG